TATTATACGGCAGGGATACAAACGAGTCCATTGTAGGCCGCGTGCGTCCGACAGCTGTTTTAGATAACGTGTGACCTCTCTAGAATAAAGCGTTTCACGAACGATTAAACCAACAATGATGTCGTCCACGCTTCCTAATAGTAAACAAAAATTTGAAAGAAACAGCATGTTGATTAGGTAAGGAAAAAAACAAGATCTTGTAACCAGCGACCGCAGGATTCAAGAAATATTAAACAGTTAAATGTAATTGTAAATGTAATTTATGTAATATGGTGAATACGTGAAGAGGTCAAGATTAATTGGCTAGTTTTGGGTAGGGAAAAATGGCAGACATGGTGGTAGAAAGATCAATAATAAATAAAAGAAACGATGTGCTGCACTAATCAACAGTTAATTTAAAAATTATTTAATAATAAGCCTGCCCTGGCGCCAGTCAATAATTAGTCAAGGACTGGAGGTCGGCAACACGCCTGTGAATCCTCGGGTGTTGCGGGTGAGCATGGGTGAGGCTGATCACTTACTAATACTATCAGATAAACAGTCAGCTGTTTGCTTCCTGTCTCTAATAAAGAAGTTCCGAGAGACTGAATAGGATGGTTTTACTCAGTAAGAGTCTGATACTCTCACCCCAGCAGAATAACCCCAGGTAAAAAAGGCAATAGGTCAAAAAAGTCAATTGATTATTTTATACCTAAAAAATTTCGTTCAAAAATGTATACTACTTTCTACATTAATAATTTGTGTTTTAACGTCGATGAGGTGATCAAATTTTTGTTGCGACATTAATCAAACCTAAACGATTAATAATATACAAATCAGTTCAATAGCTATCAAATAAGTATGCAAATAGAAGTGTATCCAATCGAAATCTAAATTCCGTAAAGGCATTACAAAATGATTAAGCTACGTTTAGATACAAGTCTAAACGAATAACTCAGGAGATGAGCTAAATGTGGACCTTCTGAACTTAATCAACATTTTATTTCGAACTTGCTATTCCACTCACTCCACTTTCACTCGCTGCCTGACTCCTATAAGTTGTATTGTGATGTTTTAACCTATAGCCTTCCACGATAAATGACAATTCAACACAAAAATTATTGCTTAATTCTAGACAGTAGTTCCGAAGATTAGTGCGTTAAAACAAGCAAACAAACAAACTCCAGCACTATAATATTAGTATAACTAAATTCAACTGCTACAGTTATTTTTAAAAGTAGCTTATTACAATAAGATTTAACTATATCAGGTAGGTAAGTACTTGAGCGCAAACAAAATGTAATGTGGCCCCCAACGAATATAAAGAAAGAAAAAAGTACCTATCTCCCTTTATTTATTCGCTCGAATAGCTTTGATCTTTGGCCTTTGAAAAACGTCTCTTAAGATTCACAAAATGCCTTAAATAAATGGTTTTATATTAGAGTAGACCGCATTGAATAACCAGAATAACTACGGGTGGAGTTAAATAAATACTCGCATTCATATTGCGCTTAAAAGCTGATGACACTGCTGATTTAAGTGGCATTCCAAAAAAGGTCCCAATGTTTTGGAGAACCATTAAATACGGGCGGAAACGACCCCAAAAGTGTCGCAAGGCTACAACAGGTCTGTATAATTAATAGTTTTGGTAAGATGAAACATTTAAAAGTAAAATATAAAAATGTAGGTAACTAAGTAAGAACCATCGGTGATCTGGTTTTATAGTAAGTTTTTATTGTTATTTGAATGGCACGTAATAAGCAAAAGGCAAAAGTAAAATAAATTAAATATTTGCAGATCAAAGACGTGCTATGCGATGATATTATGTTGTCGACTCAGGACTGGATTCGTTTTAAATATATTCAACATAAAGGTCAACCTAGCTTTACTTAAGGACCTTTGAGCAGAAGTATTATTAATAATGTGAGTACGGAAGAAATGAATCATCATATTAATCATACAAGGTCAACTGGTCATCATATAATATTAGTATCAATTTTTAGGTAGTATTTTACTTGGTGAGCTCGTTTTGTACTACCTGCTTGGTAAATGAACCCGATCCTAGTTCACACGTTATGGTTATGCAACAAAGGTAAGGACAGCAGACATACACCTTCATTGAACACATTGTCAGGTGTTCATTGTCGCCGGATGAATGCGACATCTTTGCGAATATTGCATTAATTCAGATGTCCTATTGTGTTATGCAGTACAATCATCCCTGTCCGTTCCGGACTCATGGTCTAGAGCCGAGATGTCCGACGTCACGAGCGGGTCGAGTGTGACTGACAAGCATGCGAGATAATGCGATCGCTGCCTAAACAAAGCGACGGCGCCTGATTTAATCAACGATTCTATACGAAGATCGTATGTAAGCACCTATTCGGCCAGTGACAGATATAGCAAGTGGGACGTGACGGTAATTTCTGATATAATTCTGATGAAATAAATTATGTACGTAGGAGTCATAAATCGAATGTGCATTGAGAGTCGAATCTTAATTTGATGCAAGCTTTCTTTAACATTTTTATCGTGACTGTTAAAGGAATGCAGTTGATTATAGTGAATACATTACAGTGTAAGTATTTTTGAAGTCCATTCGTTTTTTATATAGCTATGAAATTGACATTATTTAGATTTGATCAGGTTATTATGAAAATAATTTGATGCTTATTCATGATAATCGCCACCCATAGTGATCTGCAACGTTATTATAAGCGTTATGAGGGTGATGTTGGTTGATTCGTTACAACAGGCGTCGCAGCGTCAGTTGGCGTCATAAGCGTGCTATCATGTAAAATGTTTATGACAGCGAGGCGTCGGCAAGCGGAGGCGGCAGAGGCGAGCAATTGAGACGTTACGTTGTTTAGCGTGTGGTTCTGTGGGGCCCGTAACGAGCGCAGAACTTGCTTAATGCACGCGACAAATTACCCGCCGGAACACACGACGAGAGGATGGGCCCCTTCTTAATTAACGTATTTTGTCACCTTATAAATTGTAAGGGAAACGAAATTGTGGCACACCTAGTTAGTTCGCAAACAGATGGTATATAATGGTAAATTACTTGTTTTCTCACAATTGTTGTCCTTAATTCATGCACAGATGTTGGTTCTAAGTATCTACCTACTTTAGAAAGATATTAGATATTCCACTGGTAAAATTGTATCCAGATGGGTTATTTACTATGTCAATGATAATTAATTTAAGAGACTGTGTTAAAATGATGATGATGATTGTGACCTACAATAGCAAAGAATTGATAATCTTCAATAATCTTCTGATCATAGTCAACTGCTTAACAATGATTAAAATAATAAAAAACACCTTTGTTGTTTTAACAAATTGTATCAAATTTGTATAGCAATTAAATACTACTTATTGTACTTATTAGGATCAGTCAATTGGGATTTATTCAGGTATCCATAATAGAATTAAAGTTCAAGCTACATTTTATTGTGAAGGGTTCTTACTTCCACTATAAGAGGAAATTAGTTCTTGTAGTAAGAGTAAATTTTATTTAATCACCAATAATTCATTTTCAAACAACATCATAAAGATTTTTGAATAAGAGAATCATCAATTAACATGTTAAACGCCATGGGGGTCACCAGTGACCTCCTTTAGCATAGGATTTGCAGGCAGTCAAAGGCTTAAGTATTTTTCTATAAGTCTTTATTTTTATTATTGTTGGGTTTACTGAGAATAATAAGGGCTTGCCAAAATCTTGATTAATTTATCAAACCCGAAGCAAACATTTGTTTTTCTTTTGCTTCTTAATATGAAGGTTAATGTTTTTCTCTACTTTTTTCTGGTACTTCACTTTTGTTACAGGCTATATTAAGTGATGCATGCTGTTTATTAGGTGCAATATCTACTTAGCAATTTTATTATATTTGCACTATAGTGCTAGCTCTCAGTCAGCGGCTTCAAAAGTGTAGTCAAAGGAGAAATCTTCTTCTATGAATTTCTACAAAAATCATGACATACCTACAGAATGGTGCAACATTTAAATAACATTTTTTCTTTTAGGCTTTTCTCAGTTGGCTTTTTGCTTTTTTGCTAACGAGTAGAAACCTACATTTTTGTTTTGTCTCCAACCCAGATTATTCATAGAATGTGAATGTATTTTGTTTTCATATTATTAAAAAAACTAAACTAAATGACATAAGATAGGGGGGTCTAATAGGATTCCTAATATCTACAGCTAAATACAATGGGTACAAATGAAATCAAGACTCAAGACAAAACCTTTCCTTAATAGCTTAGGATAAATATTTTTTTAATAACCTTCTTTTGTTTCGTAGTAATTTTTATCAAAGAACCTTATCATATTAATCGGTGTTTACACTTAACACAAACAAAATTGAAATAACAATAAAAAAAACACATTAACACGCTTTTGAATAAAGATCTCCGTATTAATACATTTATTCAGCCAAGATACATCCGCACATTAGTAAACCAAAGTCAGGTAAAAAATATTACGAACTTAAACAAAAGTTTAATAAAAATAAAAGAGGTGAATGATGTTTGTACCTTTCAATAAGCTTCCTGAGCGGTGATGGAATCTTCAAAAATAACACACACTACACAAACTGATCAGTATTATAGTCATATGAGCACCGTAAGCACATCAAAATGCACATGGAGGAATCAATGGTTTTAATTTGTTTTCATTATGTTTTTCTATAGAACCAAAGAAAATGCGTCCTTTCAACCACTCACTATAACCACGACATTATCCAACTCTTACGTTTAGTTACGTTTGTAGATTGTCAAAAGTTTAAAAAAATACTATGACATAGTCGCCTATTTACTTTCAGTGATAATTGTTTAGCTAGGAACTTGTATTTAAATATATTATTACTATGGAGCAATAACCATTGAAAGCTTACTTAAAGATAGGAAACTTCTTTAAATCATACTTTAAATTCAGCTAACTAAACGTTACAAATTTATGTCAAAAATATCTTCGTCCAGAACTTATTGAGATTTTGACGTGAAGTAAATAATAACATTTCTGAACATTGAAAGCTACTGTCAGTGTCAAATCAAATGACATTAATTGAATAATCGAAAGAAGATACCTAACCTAAAGGCTCCCAGGATTATTTATTTTTTAAATTAATTATAATCCTTTAAGATGAATACGGTTAGTAACATATTTAAGTATACTGTAACTCGATGTTTACGTGCTCAAAATGCTATCAAAGTTGCAGCTGTTCCAATTTTCAAACGTGACGTTCATACAACAAAACCAAATAATGACCTAATGGAATTCTTTGATGCTAAAAAAAATTGGGGAGAAACAAATATTAGAGTTGGTAGAGGATGGAGGTTGGATGAACTTAGAATAAAGTCCAACTCAGATTTGCACAAACTATGGTATGTATTGTTGAAAGAACGAAATATGTTATACACCATGGAACATGAGTGCAAACAGAAGGTGCGATTATTCCCCAATCCTGAAAGAATAGATAAAGTCCAGGAGTCTATGGATAACATAGAAACTGTTATAAGAGAACGTAATGTCGCTTATTACAAATTGGAGACAGGGGAGACTGGTGAGCGGCCTGTGGAAGATGTTCTTAATTTGTTTGGTTTACCAGAGAAGTATGAAAAAAAAGAGCATTTTATTCCTAAGTTTATGAACACCCGCTGGGTAAAACCATACCTTGAGCATGGTTTTATAAATAGTGCAGCAGTTAAGAGATTTGTAAGATTCTATAAGGAGAAGCAGCACAATGTTGAAAGGAAAGCACGCAACAGGGACTTCAATCATGTCCAAATGCTATTAAAGCGGTTCCCTAACATGGACATGGAAGCACTCAAAGCACAATATCCCGATGTAGATATTGAGAAAGCTAAGCGTCACAAGAAAGCGAGGGGACACTTTATGCCTAAATATTAATAAAATAATAGTAGCTTATAGTAATAACTTGTAGTTTTATTTATTCATTGAATTTATAGTAATAACTTGTAGTTTTATTTATTCATTGAATTAAGTACAAATATTGTAATACCACAGTTGGTTTTAATTAACACTAAGGACAGCATCTCCAACATGGTAATTTAACTTGCATAATAATAATATGGTGGGATAATATGTCAATGAAAATTACGTGTCCGTTACCCAGGCCAGATGTTGTCGACAATGGTCATTTGAATCTTATAGATAATTAGTTGTGCGGCTTCTGTAATTGTTGCGCACATTTTTAAATTTGTTGTGCTTATAGTTTTTTAATTATTTCACAAAAACATTTCCGGCTGGCGTAACGTTACCACAGCCAGACCTTTTTCTTTCTAATGGGAATATTTAAATAAATATTAGCTATAAAATTAGTTGTCTAGATAAAGTAAATGTTGTGCCTTATTTTGTATTTGTTCTTTCTTCGGTTGCGAAGTTATTCGAGATTTTGCTGCGGTAACGTTTTTGGTTTTGCTAGATCTTTGAAATGGTTAAGCGGATTCTTATCATATTTTGTACACGACTTCCGAGGACTTAGTTTAAATTTGTTGTGCAATAACAAAACCAAAATAATGCATATTTTAAAGGTTTTTTCATTAAATAGAAAAACACTTCAATTGGCCCCAGCACTCTCAATAAGAAGTCTAAAGACTTACTATAAACGTAATTTTAAAGCTTGTAACTGCCTTCAAATGTATGTGAAGTTTCATTAGTATCCTGTAAGTATTTAACAAGTAATGATGATATTCAGTTCTTCACGAGCACGGTCTTAATGCACGCGGTGTTATTTGGCCACTGGATTGGATATATGAACTGAATGTTATGTCAATAATTAGTTGTTTAGATCAGTTGTATATCAGTAAAATTTCAGCTCAATACATTGGATAATTAATGAGATAATACTATTAAAGTCATTAAGAAGTGAATGACCGTGGTAAGCCGACCAAGTTTAGGTGGTTACGAAAAAGCGAAAACGCAGAACATTGTACTATCTTTTGAAATGATTAGTATAATACACCTTACAATTTTGGTACAGACGCGTACACTGTTAAATACCTATATAATAATAATATGAAAGAAAACATTATCTTCCAGTTTCACAAAATTATCAAAAATCACCGCTAGAGCATGCCGTTCGGTAGGTCGCAGGAGGAGTGGGGTGAAGGGGTAATACATTGTTTGCATAACGCACTCAGTCTTACCAGAAAGTTACTTTTGTAACCTTTTAGATGATTTTTGAACTGCATTTTGAAATAGAAATGACAAGGACGGGTGATGTTAATCGGTTGCTAAGCAACACAAGTTTTTTTATGTAAGGGAGTAAAAGTTCAACTGAAATGATTATTTTACCTTTCAATAAAAAATCTTGAATAATCATGTAGTTTTTTTTAAACTTTTGTACATGTCTGTACTAAATTTATAACACTATCCTACATATTTTAGAAGGTACCATAATGTTCTGCGTTTTCGCTTTTTCGTAACCACCTAAACTTGGTCGGCTTACCACGGTCATTCACTTCTTAATGACTTTAATAGTATTATCTCATTAATTATCCAATGTATTGAGCTGAAATTTTACTGATATACAACTGATCTAAACAACTAATTATTGACATAACATTCAGTTCATATATCCAATCCAGTGGCCAAATAACACCGCGTGCATTAAGACCGTGCTCGTGAAGAACTGAATATCATCATAACTTGTTAAATACTTACAGGATACTAATGAAACTTCACATACATTTGAAGGCAGTTACAAGCTTTAAAATTACGTTTATAGTAAGTCTTTAGACTTCTTATTGAGAGTGCTGGGGCCAATTGAAGTGTTTTTCTATTTAATGAAAAAACCTTTAAAATATGCATTATTTTGGTTTTGTTATTGCACAACAAATTTAAACTAAGTCCTCGGAAGTCGTGTACAAAATATGATAAGAATCCGCTTAACCATTTCAAAGATCTAGCAAAACCAAAAACGTTACCGCAGCAAAATCTCGAATAACTTCGCAACCGAAGAAAGAACAAATACAAAATAAGGCACAACATTTACTTTATCTAGACAACTAATTTTATAGCTAATATTTATTTAAATATTCCCATTAGAAAGAAAAAGGTCTGGCTGTGGTAACGTTACGCCAGCCGGAAATGTTTTTGTGAAATAATTAAAAAACTATAAGCGCAACAAATTTAAAAATGTGCGCAACAATTACAGAAGCCGCACAACTAATTATCTATAAGATTCAAATGACCATTGTCGACAACATCTGGCCTGGGGAACGGACACGAAAATTACACTTAATATTAACTCTTCATTTGTGCTAATTCCAGACACAATAGGTGTGCAAATGCCGGCTATCACATGGGGTTGGATCAATTAATTGACTCTACTCAATCACATTAGATAATACTTTAGAAGTTAACATTGTTTTTCATCTCAATGGATCACTGGGATAGCACACAAGCTCATAATCCTCCAGGGATTTAGTTATCACCTAATATCTAAGTCTGTCAACTGAAGATATAACCCTAAAATTTAAAAATTAAAAACAATTACCAAATAACCAGAAGTATGATGTCTCAAATTTTATATTGACAAGTTTCAATTGTAAATATCTTATTATTAAATCTCAATAAGAGGCAGGTTTTACAATAGTTCTATAATGAATTAAATCTTTTTCATAATTCAAGCCCCTTGGACATTTATATATTGTGAGAATCTTTTACAGAACTGGTATAAACAATAGGATATAATAGAAAACATATATAATTTTTAAACATAGATGTTTCTGTAGATACACACAAATAGTTATTTGGTCCCTGTAAAAACAACGATATCAAAGACAATATCACATGCATTACTATAAAAAAAAAAAAACAGTTTTATGTCAATCATGGAGAAGTTTAGTGAAAATGTTCAAAATATCTGGCATATCTGCACTGCTCTCCAAATCTTTGTACACTTTTTGCAATTCCTTCATAGACTTCATGATATCTCTGAACTTCTTGATGAATTCAGCACTAACATTATATTTGCCATCTTGAAATGTAGTTGTGTTATTTTGATTTTCATTATCAGTTGTGGTAGCTTCATTTAATCTTTTCCAGGTTTCTTGTACACCATATACATCATAGATATTCAAATAGGCATCTAATGTCACATATAGTGTGTGGACAAGATGATTCAGGTTATCACCTAATTTCTTATTAATTAACATTTTCATATCTAATTTGGCATAATCTATTTTACCACCATTCTCAACTTTGATATTAGTACTAAAATATTTCTTTGTCACATAGTTGAGCACTTGAGTTATTTCAATAGGTTTAAAAAATAGAGGTTTACAAATCTCCACTTCGCTTGCATCAGGTGGATACATCAACCAAACCTTTTCTTTGAAAAACTTGATTAAAATGTTTAAAATACTTTCATCTTGGATTGGATGCAATACCTTGGTGTGGCACATACCAACGAGATATTTCATAAAAGGTGGCTCAATTCTGTCCAAAATTCTGTTGACTGATTCACATGGCATGCCTGAAAAAAGAAATGTAAGTGAGTGGGAATTGTTGTAGTTAATATTGTTGCAGAATCGATTTACCTTCAGTATTGGTATATAAATGTGACCACAATTTCCATCTCTACTCATATTATAAAGAGGAAATTCGCTATTTTTTGTAGGTATTTGTTTATCTATACCAATATTATAAAGAGGTATAATTTGAAGTTTAGGTTTAGATGTATTTCCAAAATACTTCCACTGATAGATAGCTACAATGTTCCTGATTGCTATGAAACATCACGCTACGGATCAAATGGAGCCGAGCAGTGTTTGAAACCGCGCATGCTACCTACAGCACAAAAATACTGTATTCATATCAAAATTAATGGAAAGCTACATTTGCTAGAATGTAAAATAGGCTACCTTTATACATATATATTAAATCTTCTGCCTTTTATTTATATATTCATACATAATGTACATATTTTATGAGTACTTATTATTATAGTTAATTCATTGTACACTACACTGCTCATTCCTAGGTTTCTTTTAATTTTCCACTTAAAGGTTGTCTAGGAAGAAGTTACCCTGTATGATAACACCACCCATTGTAAACTCTATAATATTTATAAGCTTGTTTCTTGTAAATGTGTGACATAATTATGTGTGCAATTGTTGAGTGACAAATAAGAACAAAGGACAAACCTGTGATTAAATTATAGAATTCATTTGCAAATTGTTTACAATAATCTCCAATATTTGGGTAATCGCTGTTTGAGTCTTTTTCCCAAAAGTAAAATGTTTGAATCATTGCGTTTAGCCACATCTGAAAAGAAAATAATTGCAACTCAATCTCTATTTCAAATAGATGTCCATTTAAATAGTGAGAGCCAAGCATATTAAAGTAAATTAAAACAAAATAATTGAAGTTATGTTTATCATAAACTTTAATTAGGCACCGCAAATGAGATAACAGATTATTAGTATTCCAATAGCAGAAGCTACTAAAATTGGAGATTGTGTATCAACATTTTACATAGAACTTCAACCATGTCGATTATATGGAGGATTAACCAATTAGAATTGTCTACATATTATTTGGCAGTGACAAAATTGTTGAATAGAAACAAAGAGTTGATGATGTACTATTATATGTCTTCCGAGGTAGACAGTAAAACATGAATACTTAAATAGAAAACTTACTGCCATTATCCTCAACATCTGCTCTGGATATCTTAAATGATTAAGATGTATAAATAACTTCATTATTTGCCTGCAGTTGTTAGTCACTACAGCAGTGTACGCAGTATTATCAGACCACAAAACAAATGCCATTAGAGGCTTATGTGACCCCAAAATGTGGTTACCTGAGTTGTTAATATACCTGTCAAGATTTAAACTAAAATTTAGTTCACAAATCTATTAAATTTATCATTTTCTATATACATTTCTTATGTCTTATGTCATGTCTTATTGATCAAATGTTTACAAGAATGGTATTGAGTAGCATTTGTAGGACTACTAATTATTTAAAATAAAATACTGATAAAAAAATTACCTTGAATGCCAAATGGCCAAATCATACTGCAACAATTCTATAACACTCTCTAGCACAGCCATTAGTCTTTTTATCCTTTCGTGCCTGTCCAGGCATTCATATATTAAAAATTTCTCATTTTCCCAATGTGCAGCACTTACTGTGTTTAATAAATATGTTGGAACTTGACCTTGCTTGTTTACTAAGGGCCCATCTTGGCTTTCTGCACTGATTTCATCTTCTAATCTATTCATACAATATTTAACAATACCTTTTCTACATTCAAATTTTGTTCTATTTGTAAATGTCTTGTCTTTAAGGTTCATAGGTGATGTGAGGAAGTCTTTGTAACATTTTCTTAAACCTTTAGAATGGCAAGGAGGGTGCATGCTGAAGTGTAGAGATAGTACATGTTGGGCTTTATTTATGACCTCCACTAATGAGTAATCTTCATAATCATCTTGATGAGCATTCTGGAATTTAATTGTAATTTTTTATTATTAAATATAATTAGTAACATTGACTTGAGCAATTTTCATTTTTAGTGAGGAACTATGGAAAGAATATTTAATGAAAGATACAAGGATAAAGACATATGGTGTAAATGTATGGTATCTGAGCTCATCTACCATAGTTTTGTAATACAAAGTTATACAGACGGCTGGGCAAGAGATTGCAATGTGTACACTTGCCCCTAAATAAAATTTGGATAGTTAATGAAAAAAAGCAATGCATCAAATTGTAATGTAGGTGGAACACTAGAAGATGTGATACACTTATTGTTTGAATGTGCTTGATATCAGTCTGGCTGTGTGGATTTATTGGGTTTGGGTTAGGCCACATTTCATAATCTTTTATCTAATCCTGATTCAGAGGCTGCCTCTAAAGTACTTAAGTTCGCTAGACTATGTTTTAGTTAGATAAGTATTATTATAAGATATGATGGTAGGTGCTGGTGTACATGTCTGGGTAGTTGTCCCCAGTAGTAAATTAAACAAAAAATATTAACATTTAAAATTTTACTTACCAATATAATCTCTACTACCTCTTGCAGAACTTCGTGTGTTAAATATTTGTCATGAGTAATGTACATTCGGCACACATCCAAGGCTTCATACCACGCTTTATTCTTAATTTCAATTAAGAATGACTGTTCAATATGAGATGGCATTTGAATGATAGCAGCCTGGAATATTGATTAAACATTTTTATAACTGTAGAGAAAAATATATTTACTATTATTAAGCACATATAAGTGAGGTTTAAAGAATTATTTTGTTACAGAGTAAACACAATACTGATTTTTAAAAGCGTTAATAAGACTAGAATATTAAAAAAAGCCTAGGCTTATAACAAGTTTAAGATTTATTAGGAGTTTAATAAAATAAAATAACTTTACTTACTGCATTTCTATCATGTTTGCAACCACCAATATCCAAACAATTAGGTAAAAATGTCTCTAAAAATCGGGTATTGTAATCCGAGTAAGCCTTGCAAGACACTTGTATACAAGCCTTCACAAAGTTTTGCTTCTTTTTAGCCTGTAACTCTGCATCACTATTTTTCTCAGCCTTGATACGTTTTGCAACCGATTGAACAGGATCATTTTCCCGCTTTAAAGAAATATCTGTATCTTTTTTAGGAGAATGTTTAACCTTCTTCTTTCTGGGACTCATTATTTCTTGTAACTAGTAAATACAACAAGTAGCACTAAAATATCTTACATATTTCAACTTCGTTAACGTTTGTAATTTTTATAAATTAAGTTTAGTAGAAGAATTAACGAAAACTACAAAATAATCAAGTTGTTTTTTTTTTTGCTTCTTATGTCAACTGTCAACTTAAACTTAGTACTTCCTTTTTAGCTTGTCGACTATACTGCCAATAGTGCCAATGTCATGTTGTAAGTTCCTTTTGTGAAAGGAAAATCTAAAATGACTTCGTGTGAATGAGCGTCGGAAACACCGTTCCTTTTCTTGCTTTGGATTGAAGCTGCGGCGCCTCATCGCGCTTGCAACCCCAGATAGTACCGTGCGTTGATCTGTACATTTGTCACGATATGCTATAGTACATCGTAACACGTACACGTTGGTAAAGTAGTAAGTAAGTTAAACACATAATGGGTTAAAATTGTTTTATGTAATGTTGACAACTAAGGGACAAAATAACTTCAATATCATTGCATTGAAATGTCTTTGTATCTATAAGTGCGTAGGTATTTTGACTGTCTCACCTCTCACCCAGTGTGGTTTAGGAGAGTGTTAGACTCTTACTGACTACAACTACCCCATTCCTTCTACTGCTTCGGACCGGGGCGCGGCCGCGGGGCCGCGGAACATTATTGGGCCCCATCTATCTCGGTCTGGTGACTGTATGAAGCGAGCGCGGACCCTACGCGCTGTACGCCCGGGTATGGTTTTGGTCAGGCAGCGAGCTAGCCTTGCAAGAAAATTTGAAAAAACGCGGTTGCATTTTTACGCTACGCTCAACGGAGGTGTAATAGGCATATTTTTTCTTCGAAATATTTTCCCAAATGGAAAACAACGCGTGATAGCGCTTTCGCAATGTGCCGACTAGAATATTGTAGCTGGGTAAGACAAAATGGCATTTGCCAGCGTATCCGTGCACTCATTTCTAGAATAGTCAGGGATTTCGGGCACGCTGTTATAGCAGCGGTAAGTCTCCTATGAGGAGTGGCTTGAGAGACGTCATGGCCCCTTTACGTCAGACTTCCTGACAGCTGTTCCGGTGCTTGCACTTATAAGCCGCTTTTTTCGAAACGATTAGATGCGGCACGATGTTGTGATAACGTTTCTACCGCGAGGGAGCATCATAGTTTTTATGCAGAACTCAAAAACGTGATACAAGTCATTTCTAAGACGATGTTTCCTTTGTATGTTGAAGTCAATAGGTACTTAATATTAATCATATTTCATCTCTTCATTTACATCTTCATAGTAATCTGTGACTGTTTCTTAATCAAACGTTATTTTCCACAAAAGAAGTCGATGGGTCTGCCAGAATTGCTCGAAAACACTGTTATTTAATTAATCATATGAGCAGCCACTATGCCAATTTGGTACCAACATCTGAATCACTGATACCTAATTTTACCGTTTTTTCTATTATCTTCAAAAACTAAGCGTGGGAGAGCCATGCTTAGGCACGAATGGGTCGGTTCCACTGGAGTGATAGTGATGCCACGGTCTCACAGAAAAGCGGTGTGAAACAACCACAGCGTTGTTGAAAAAATAACTTTAACACTCATTTCGACCATGATTAGTATAAGTAGGTTAAGTCTGTTACTTTTATGCACACTATGAAGGTGTAAGTGTTTATAATAGGCATAGGTTTTGTTGTATCATTAAACATTACATATATTTAGCAACGCATGATTTCAAATACCTGCTGCTTACAGGTACACCTACTTATCTAAATTATATATAATGAAAAAATCAAGGTTACTGTAGTACAACCAAAACAAACAATAGTTGAAATAAATCTACGCAATTTTGTTGTAACGTTTGGCTGCGTACCCAGTGCCGAATATTTAAAATTATTGATTCATAGTTTGCCGCAACCGTAGTCTACAAGTTCACGATTGCATTTTACTCTTGCCGAGGTGACAGCCAGTATAAAACCACAACACTTGTGGCACAGGCATCAGTTCCGCAAGGATTATTGGGAGACCACCACGCTACAGACTCCAGAAAAATGGCTTTCGTATACAAGGTAGCTAAATTGATTTTATTTTAAATTAAAACCTATTTTTTATACTAAATACTTGATAATTATATAATTATTTGAGTGCAATGTAAGAAAAGTTACATGTCGTGTAAATTCACTTACCAATTATACCGCAATTGATAACAACGGATTGAAAAATAGATATTTTCCAGCGCTGAAAATAAAAAAAAAACACTGCGGTATACCGAAAAGTAAAAATTAAAACTCATTACTTTTTTGCATACAGTTTAATATACTAATACGATGAGAACTATTTAGCTTTTTTAACGAAATCGGCATAAATAATTGCGTCCGCATTATAAATGTAAAATGTCCTACACTCAAAATATAGATCAGTCTCTGTTTTTGTCAGACACTCCATTAAACTACTGTCAAAAATCGACCTTTTAAATAGATTTTAAATTGAAAATCCGCCAATAAATGACGAATCCAAAACAAATAGTAGGACATAACATTAACATAAAAACAGTTACCAAATCATTATAATTAATTTATCTTATTGTGTTTGTGCACAAAACAAAACAAAAAATTGTGTTTGTGCCGCTTCATGTAATAGCCTGTAATAGCAAACTTTGCTGGATTTTCAAGAGTCAGATAAATGTTATCTGAGGAATAAAATTGTTGCTGTCACTGTCTTATACAAACATTCTGACGCGACAGCATCATAATTATTCTCCCTATAACTTTTATCTAACCACTGAATAATAAGTCCTAAAACAAATGTTACCTACTAATAAGTATCACACACCTTACTAACTACAATATATAAGCTGAATTAAAGTAGGTAACAAAATTATTCTCTTACAAATTCAACATCTAGTCTCATTAGAAAACTTATCATAAAACCTCGTGGTCTCACTTTCTTCGTGGTCGATTATTTTTCATTGTCACTATTGAGTAACAACTTAATAGGGTACTGACCGTGAAGGTCGTCGCTTTTTGTCACCATTGAACTGGAAGTTGTAACTCTCACGATCGGATCTAGCTGTAACTAACAAGATTTCTATTGTTGTTTTATGATAACTGCGTTCTGTTATAAATATTTTCTGTTTTTTTTTTCTAAAACAGGTATTCAATCAAATATTTTAATTCAAGTTTACTTTCATCCTTTCAGCTTCTCGCACCGATAGCATTAGCCACAATCGTGTTGGCAAACAAAGCTCCCGGAGGTTATTCTTACAGTCGGTTCAGTGGGCCTGTTAGTGGCCAAATCGTTGAAGTGCAAGTACCTGCAGCTGAAGGTATTCCTGCACAGCAACACGCAGACTACGGCTACGATCATAAAACTGGACAAATACACCCAGACACAGCACGATACGCGCATCTGAAGACTGTTGACTATGTTGTAAGTACACGATAAGGGCTTTTGTTTGAACCTAAACAAGTCCCATTGACGGAATACCTTACTAGCTCACGCTCATTTTGTTAGTAAAAAGAAACTAGCTTTTTTAAGTTTTGACTGCCATTTTGATAGAAATCAACTGCCATCAATTTGAATCAGCCCTAGGTGAGTCGGTGGGAGTATCTGATTCTTTTTTTCGCGATGGGGGGCAAAACGGTAAGCAACGGAGCTTCCGATGGATACCTTCCCGTAACTCCTAGGGATCGCTTATTCTAATATGGGTAGCCTCACACACACAGCGAAATACAACAAACCGTTTCAGCTAGTTTTTTGTGACGCTGTGGTATCAGGACGGTCGAGGCGTGACTAAGTTGTTAACAATCGTTCTGTCAATATTTTAGGCTAAACCAGACTACGCCTACTCATATGGTGTTGAAGATCCTCACACCGGTAACCTGCAGAACCATAAAGAGCATCGTGATGGAGATGTCGTCCACGGTGAATATTCGCTCGTTGAGCCTGATGGCTCCATCCGTCTTGTGAGATACACCGCGGATCCCAAGAATGGTTTCCAAGTAAATACATTATTCATTTTTATATAAATTATTTACAAATAGTAAATTATATTTCAAGAAATTTGACTATAGGTGGGGACTAAAAAGCACTTTACTTATTTTTTATTCTTGTACTTACAGGCTACGGTGCATAAGAAATCAAGCGGTCAACCACAAAAGCTAGTTCATTACGGTCATCCACAGCAGGAAGACGATTCACGAGAATACTAGTCCTATTACGTTCCTAATAGTTTAGCTTTTGTATTTTGTTAAATATTTATTAGTTATTTTTGTTAAATAAAAAGAAATAATAGAATCACGTTTATAATTTACAAACCTAAACAAGTTCACATTACCGGTCACATTGATTTAAAATTATTGTCGTATCCAACGATTCACTTAAATAGGCCCTTAAACATTTCTGGTGTAATTGGAAGCACGACAGTATGTGTATTTTCGCCAGCAATCATCTGTAGAGCTTGCAGGTATCTAAGCTGAAATAAATATTTTCATAGGTATTATGAGGAATCTCTCGTAACATCTCAAGGATGACCTCTAAAACTTTTCTAAAGTCTTTAAAGTATGACTTTTTTTGTAAGGGGAAAACTTTCAGATGATTTGACCAGAGAAGGGCAAGAGAGAGTATCTCTCTACTGCATTAAAATTAGGGTGTATGATTTAAAAAAAAATAGGACAAGTTATTGAAAAACAAATGTCAATACGATGACGAAAATTTAATTCAACCAACCTGCATGCAATAAGGGTTGTCCATAAGCAATTTAGTAGCCTTCTGGAGATTTTTAGTTGATTCTATTTCAGCTTTGGCTACAATTATTTTAGCGTTCGCCAATCGTGACGATTCCGCTTCCGTAGCCATTGTTTTTTGTAACTGCAATGGTAAGCTGATGTCTTTGCTGAAATTAAAAAGATAATGATAAGATAAGATAGTGTTGTGTCTTTTGGGCATTTAAGAAGATAAACAGACATAAAGGTCGTATATTGAGCCGCTCTGGATGCGGCTGATCTGAAAGCCACTAGGGAAACCTACGGGCTTTATCAGAAAACTTTTATGACCCTCATTTTATGTACCTCATACTTTCTTACTTAATGATTAGGTACTTGTAAATTAACCTAATTTTATCAGTGATTATCACTCCGGTCGTACCTAATTACTGTATAAATAATTACGGTGCACTTACACTTCAAACCTCACAACTTTGACTCCCCAGTTGGTTGTCAAATTCTTCATATTTCCAAATACCTGATAGCTGACTGCTGGTCGGTCGACTAGTATTTCTGACAATTTACGAGTTCCAAGTGCATTTCGGAGTGTTGTAGCTGCTAAGTATTGAGTGGCTACTCTGCAAAATATAAATATCGATTTGAAAGCAGGAACTGATTTTTTATTAACCTGTATTATATTTTTTATGGTCGTATGGTCGGTAGTAAATAAGCAGACAGTTCATCTGGTTTACACCAAAAAGTGGCGACCTTTCAGAGCTAGCTCCTATTTATTGGTTTTGAAGATTGAAGGATTCAGGGATTGAGAACGAAGGATTGGCTCGATTTCAGTTTTTTTTAGCACACTGTTCCTTCCAGGGTGCACACTTTTTTTTACCGTAGTGTGTCATTAAAGTTTTGTTTTGAAGAGTCTGTTCTTCTATAATTGAGCTTATTAATTTGAAAGCAAAACATAAAACTATTTCTTACTTATAGTCAGCAATGTTGACAATCGCCCAAATTGGATCCTCAATCTTATAGTAAACTACTGCATCCACAGCAACGGTCAAAGCATCTTTAGTTAAAGCCTGTCAAAAACTAATTGTTATTAGGTATCATAATCATAGGACGTGGAATTAACAGCTTATCCCCTATATCGTGCTCCACGGTGGACGCCATCATGCGCGTGACGGACCTCACGACGGGGACTGCGTTGGCCAGGAGGCGAGTCGTCGTGGCGAAGTCTCTGGACATCGCCAACGCCTTCAACTCGTTGCCCTGGAGCTGCATTTTGGAGGCACTCCGGTATCACCGGGTGCCTGCCTATCTCCGTCGTGTAGTCGAGGCTTACTTGACGGACAGATGCGTCATCTACCCCGGTCACCGGGGCGTGTGGAATCGGCGAGAGGTGTCGCGCGGTGTTCCACAGGGATCGGTCCTGGGACCTCTTCTGTGGAACATCGGGTACGATTGGGTGCTACGCACCGACCTCCCGAGCGGCGTCAGCATTGTCTGTTATGCTGACGACACGCTGGTGCTGGCGAACGGGAGGTCGCATCAGGCGGCGGCCGACCTGATGTCACAAGCGGTTGCGACAGTCGTTGCAAGGATCCGGCAGTTGGGACTCGAGGTGGCGCTCCACAAGTCCGAGGCCATGTGTTTCTATGGCCGTCGGAGCGCGCCACCTCCAGGTGGGTCCCAAATAACGGCAGGAGGAGTTACCATCGGCGTCGAGTCGGCGATGAAGTACCTGGGTCTCGTCCTCGACAGCCGATGGAACTTCACGGAGCAGCTGAGCACCGCCGCATCCTCAGGGAAGTGATCGGCGGCGGCGACCTCTCGCGCCCGGCCTTAGTCGAGGCCATGGTGCGGAGTGAGAGGAACTGGGACGCCGTCTCCTCCTTTTGTGAAGCAGTCATGCTCGCAAAGAGAGAGGCGGCCCGCGTGAGGGAGCAATCCTCCTCCTCACGCCCCAGCAGCCGCAACTGGCGACACTACGGGCGTCGGGGATCGAGGTACGATCTCCGGCCACCGTAAGCACGGGCCTGCGGTCGGCGAGTAAGGCAGCTCGCCGCCCGACCACAACCAGTCCCGAGCGTACGGCGCGTAGCGTTCCGCGCGCGCCTCAAGGAGCCATTCGACCACCACAGACGGGGCCCTAAAGGGCTGATGTTCAGCCGGGGTTGCGGAGTAAGCGCAATGAGGTACCGCGACCTCGGCACAGAGCAGAAGAAGGAACAGGGGGGTTTTTAGTCAGTAAGAGTCTGACACTCCCTCCTGCCCGGCCCTGGGCGGGAGAAGTCATTTGATGAAAAAAAAATCCCCTATATCGTGGGTGCGTTTATAAACAAACAAGTTTACATAAATATACAACATGTCCAGACCTGGCAAATAACCCGTGTCTTACACATAACATATTTGCTCTGTGCGGTAATTCAACCTGCGATTCCTTGTCCCGCAGCCGATTGCCCTTCAAACACTTCGACAACTAACTAACAATTAATCTTTACTCTTGGTAGATGGTTTGTGGATTGAATTAACCTAAAAGGTTCAGGTTAATTAGAGGCTGGTGTAGCCCGGTCTCTGTCAAATGTACTTAAGCTTATATCCGCAATGTACCTGAGTTTGGAGCCCAGAAAATGAATAGGCTTCTTAAACTTGTTTGGAGTTATATTGCATTTTTTGAAAAAAAATATTCGAGTATTTGAAGGGATCCTGCAGAATGTGGGGATAAAAAAGCCTTTACTCGTATTAACTGCTAGGGTAGCAGTTTTGACGTATAATAATGAAGAAATCTGTCATTTTATTAGTTCTTACTTAATACAAGTAAATTAAAACTAAAATAAAATTTTACCTCCTGAGCTGGTACAGCATAACAAATAATTCGCAAGTCGATATATTTGATGGTATCCACACATGGTAGGTATTGGATAAGACCAGGCCCGTAAGTTTTGTTTTTACGCAATTTCCCATTTCGCAAAATAACCGCTCGCTCAAATTGACGTACTGTCTGTTTCAAAGGAATTAATATTATTTTGGAATTAGCTTCCGTACCGTAAAACGGGGTGAATAGAATTCGAGGGGTAAATAGACACGGAAGAGGTGTGAATTGATACTAGGAAAATTCGCCAACATCTATTCACCCCTTTCGTGTATCTATTCACCCCTCAAATTCTATTCACCCCGGGCTAGACTTTCCTTTAGGGACCGTCGAGTTGAGCGTTCATTTTTTTTTTGTAGATAGTACACATTAACAGAAGGCTTTTTACAAATTTTTATGTTGCGGAAACTCACGGTTTACGAGATATAATTATTTAAAAATTGTAAAGTCTATTGAAAAATTCACGCCAAATTTGACGTTTCGCGTGTTGTTGACTTCTTTTTTTTTTTTTTTGGAGTATTCCTATTGAATATAGGTTATATTGAAATAATTGATACATTGTCTTTTGGCATAATGTTTTTAATGTGCTACAAAAGTTAGTGACAGAAATGAATTGCTGCGAAACCGACTTTACGTGGTCTCTTTTCTGCCCTACCCCGAGAGTGTTTTTTAAATTCGCGAAGGTGCGGAGGGGCGGGCCGGCCCGCGAGCTGAGGAGCAGGTGGTTATAACGCACATCGCCGTGGCTGAGGCTGGCCGGCGAAGCCGGCCAGCAAGCGGAAGCCGCGGTGATGGGCGTAAAACCATCTGCGACGATTAGCTCGCGTGGGACCGCCGGAGCCCCGCAGCGCCGGAGCCGTGACAGAAGCCATGCCTGCTGCATGTTGCAAACCACCCAGAAGTAGGAGCCCGCGTAGACTTTGCCTATTAAGTGACTTTTAGTGTTTTGAGGTAAGGTTATAAAAAATCGTATTTCTCGGCAACTGTGAGTTGCCTTGTCATGGGAGTGGTACTGGGGGAAGGGGGCATCCTCCCCACTGCGGTACGATTCTAAAGTTATACATACATACATACAAACTATCCGAAAAATCTTTCCTAACCTCAAAATTTTAACAAACTTTGACCATGGATATCTCCGTAACCATAGGGCTCCGCGGGGTGGGGATGGGCCTGGGGGGTAGTCCTCACCCTCCCCCTCCCCCCTCCCCCCATTTTGACCCCAAAATCGACGGTCCATAAAGGAAAGTCTAACCCATTCGCCGTACCCGTTCTCAAAACCAGAAGACAGATGGCGCGGTTATATAGCGCTGTATTGTTGTGTTTGTGGTTGTGTCGTTGTCCTATCGAAATGCAAAACAATACCAAAGTGGCTGTCTTGATCACTTTCTAGTTAATGTAAAAAAATACTCTGTTGAAAGTGATATATTTCGAAAATAAGATACCTAATACAATACAAAGGATATCTATCGAGCAATAAAAAACAGTTTTAACTGTATTAGTTTCGCTATTTATACCATTTATTATTATTTTTTTTAACATCGGGTAAATCTTTGAAATTCTCTCCTGTGAATTCTATAATACGTATGTAACAGATTACATTCTATAGATATTTTAACACACTTGCAAATTAATCAGAAAATATTTTATGAGTTAGGTAATTAACAGAAACTTACCACAAAAATTATAAACAAAGATATCGGAAATGTTATTAGTACCAACAGCATTGATATTAATACAAGACATTTTTCAATAAAATTGTCATTATCTGTAAACAAAAAGAAGTACTTAACCATGACGTTTTCCTTTTCTTTGAGATAATTTAGTTACCTACTCTTTCTTAAAGGAAGCCTTCTGTAACAGAACATCAGACATTCAAAGTAAGACTGTTTTAATCTTACTTCAGTGTGGGTAAGAGACAGAGCTAGAGAACTTGTATACCTAGCTTTTTCTCTTACCCACACTGAAGTAAGATTAAAACAATCTTACTTTGAACAGATGGTGGTCATGGTTAGCCCCCAGAAAGAGAGAGAGAATGGTGTTTGTTTCCATACACTACACCCACTACCCAATCATTAAAATCACGTACACCTGCTCACTGACTGACTCACTGATATATTACATTAAAGTAGCAAGTTTCATTAAAATCGGTTTAGTAGTTTCTATGATTCTATTCAAAGATTTGAAGATTTTTATGAAAACCTGTGGCACGTTAACGCTCGTAATAATATTTTATTACTATTCAATTCTCTGTTTTTTCTAAATATATATAAAAACCCAGAAGACCCCCGTTACGAATCTTCAATAATTTGTAATAGGGTTAGTCATCAAATATTTACATTGTTTATGGCTTTTGGACACATTCAAATTAAAGCCTTCTTGTAATCGCGTTAAATTATTGTTATTGTTTTGAACCTCCTCAGTTAATTGCAATCGGGATGATTTTGTACTAGACATTTTTAAATTTAAATATTAATTGCATTGTAACTATAAAGCTTGCCAGAAAACTACACAATGTCATCTTGACATTGAGTAATAAACTGTTATTATCATTACATTGTAGGTAAATCGTAAAAAGGATTTAATGTGGGAAAAGTTTGTAGAGTTTGTAGTCAGCCAGCCTTAGGCATCAACATATTACCCTAAAGACGAGTGAGATTATCAGTCTATTTCCACAAGACAGCACCCAGTTTCATTGACGAACAGACTGAAAGACTATTATTGTATTTGACGTTTCAATAGTAGGTACCTATTTATAGTTTAGTTGGAATTTATGAGTTTGACTTTTAAAAGGGACTTAGGACCACGACCACACTATTCTGCACTACAATAAAAACATGGGAGCTAGAACTTATCATTACAGTTTTTTTGTTGAAACATTAAATAAGCACATTTTGGTGAACTTCAGATCTTACCATCTTTACTCCGTCTTGATTATTTTGTAGCTTAACTATACTTTTATGTTTATGTAAAATAGTTATCTTTCTGGAAGTCTGGCAATAGTTACCTTTCGGTTGCTGAAAGATTTTTCATGATCTGATCGTTTAAACCCTACAAACAAACAGTGTTATGTATATACTTGTTTATAGTAATTATATTTAATTATTACATTTAATTTTTATATTATAAGTAACCCATGGGAGGAGGAGAGGGGCGCCCATAATGGATACAAAGATCTCACTATAAAAGGAATGCATGAAGATAATAATGATTGTTGATTTACGATGTACCTGATCATGAATATGTGTAATCAAACTAATGTAAGTAATCATTTAACTATTAAATTGAATATTTGTAGAGTCATAATAACTTTGGATAAAACGAGTATGAAAATACTCGTAATATTCAAATATTGGTCTCTAAGTTTCATCTACTTACTTCTATTTACATTTCTTCAATTACAAGAGTATTTATCAGCAACAAAATAAAATTAAAAAATAGGTAATAGAAATTTAAAGTAGATATCTGTCTTCATTATTCTTATAATATAACGTAAAATATATTTGATAGACAATATTCTTACCGTGTTTGTCGTAGGAAGTTCCATTGGGAAGGGGAAGAATATTGTTGCAGAGTTATTTGAAGCAATCGAGTTTAAAGTTTGTAAATAACGGAGCTGAAATAATAAAAGAGAGCAAATGGTTAGAAACGTAAAAAATATTTCGTGTAATCGTTTTTTTTTTTTATATGATTGGTCGGCAAACGAGCTTACGGTTTACCTGTTGGTAATTAACCAATAGGTGCGGCCCATGACACCCGCAACACCAGAGGGGTTACGAGTGCGTTGCTGGCCTTTTGGGGATTAGGGACGGAATGATTTGGGGAAGTGGAAGAAGGATTGGGCCTCTGGTAACATCAGTCATAGTGCGTAAAATAACGCTGTGGTTGTTTCAAGCCGGTATCGCGGTATTCTGTAAGGCCGCGGTAACAATCCTGTCGAACCGACTTATACGTGCCAAAGCATGGCACCCCTACAATTTGTGTGTAACCGATTTAACTACACAATAATAAAACTAGTGGTTGTTTTTGTGAATTAACAATACTTAATTGATTTATTATGTACCAGCATTATTTGTGGATTCTCCATCATCATTTGAGAAGCTTCCTTCAAATTTTCAGCTGCTTTTATTTCACCTTCCGATTCTATAACTTTAGCTTTAGCTATGCGAGTACCCTCTGCTTCAGCTGCCATTGCTTTTTGGAGTTCAAAAGGTAAAAACACGTCTTTTCTGGAATTATTTGTAAACATAGATTGCTTATGAAGTCATAGGGACACCTAATTTTTTTTCCGGAAATATATTCTCTAATGTCATCTATATGCAATACCCTACGCAATCCGTTAGTTACTTTGAAATATGTAAGTATGATATTTTTTTCATTGATTGATGATCGATTCATGAAAACCCATTGTTTGATTTTCTTGTGTGTCGTGGGTGTGTTCACAAACATACTGATTCACGTACTCAAGCCCTAGACCCGAAACAACAAATAGGCTATTTTCTTGGTATAACATAAACATTTGTGTGGTGTTTTTATTCAACGACAATATTTTAAATTTTCTTCACTGCTTGCAAGTTAATTATTTTGCAAAAATAAAAATGACACTTGATTATCGCATGATAAGGAACTAAAAAGAAAATAGTAGATTTGCAGTCTTAGTGGCCTATTGTAGATCATACAAAGTGTTGTTCGGTGCGAGAATAAAACTTACGACATGTTGCCCAGCCAATACATCAACCGCGCAGTCAAAAATATTAAATTTGTACCAGCTTTGATTACACTACGTTATAAAAAAATAACCATTACATTTCAACTCTTTCAATAACAACTCCCCATTTGGTTGTAGTCTTGTCGATTTCTGTTCTGCATTTAAAGCTGATACTCTCTCGGCATGTTAAAAGATTATACAGAGAGTGTTGACCAAGTACATTCCTTATAGTTGCAACTGTGATTAATTCTGTTGCGTATCTGCAATTAAAAATGGTCTTAATGGCGATACAAATTAAATTTGGTTTTCTGTTACAAAATTCTATGCTGTATAAAAGGTATTACTTATTATTTTGAATGTTCAATAAGCAGTGAAGTGGTTTCTGTATGTGAAAATATACGACGGCATCGACTGTTACGGTGACAGAATCTTTTGTTAGAATCTGAAAACAAAGATTACTAATTATTGTTTTAGTTTCTAATTATAATCGATAAGTAAAACATAAAAAATCGTATGGATGTCCCGATCAAGATATTTTATTATACTAGAGCTCTCTTTCTTTGCATTTCCAGTTGCGATACACGAATTACTATGCTACTATACTAGTATATGCATCATCATCAGTGCTTGATGACACTGCTAAAATATAACAATTTATCAAAAACAAGTTAAAAACAAATTTCTTGACGCGTTATTGACCTCTAACCTATTTGATTTAGAATTGTTGTGTTGACCTCAACCTCTCAACTGATTCTGATGATTTCTAACTGAAACCACCGTCGAGGTTCATCGATAAACAGATGAACAAAACATTGCAAAATTAAGTTCATGGAAAATGAATGATTTTATTACATCGCCAAATGTTTCTAAAGAATATCTAAGTTTAGGTGCGGAAAAGCCATGCTTCGGCACGGCCTCCCAGAAAGCCGGCGTGAAACAACCACAGCGTTGTACTTCGCCGTGTGAGTGAGGTTAACGGAAGCCCAATCCTTCCCCTCTCCAAATAGGGATTTAGGAGATTTAGGAATCTTCCCTATTCCTAAATCTCCCAAATCCCTAATCCCCAAAACAACGGCAACGCACTCGTTACTCCTCTGTTGTTGCAGGTGTCCTTGGGTGGGGATGCGCTGTTTGCTTACCATCAGGTAATCCATCGGCCGGTTTGACGATCTATCATATAAAAAAACTTAGAACTTGAATATAATTATAATACTTAGTAGTTACATTTGGGGTTGCAGATCAAGCGCAAAATGTATCGTGGCCTGAAGAGGAGAAGGAACTGGGTTTTAGTTTTTAGTCAGTAAGAGTCTAACAAGCCCCATCTAGGGAAGAAGAAGCCTTTTACCCCCAAAAAAGGTCTTAATAGGTCGGTGTATCCATTTTGCACCCTAATTATTTTAAAAGCCTTGGTAACCTGTGACCAAATTCCAAAAGCCTAAAAAATATTGGGCATCGATCCTTACAGCCCCTGCATACACTTTTAATTAAGCGACCAATGTGATAGTGAAAATAAAAGTATTGATTATTAATAAGTAATTACTTCTTGTGGAGGGAGATTGAAAGATTGAGTTCTTAAATCTATCAACTGGATATCATCTGTGCAAGGGATCATCCATATTATCCCAGGACCAGCTGGCGAGTCTTTTGTTATCCTCCCAAACCGCATTATGACTGCTCTTTTATATTGTTTTACCACCTAAAAGAACGAAATCATTAATTTTGACAAGTTGAATCCTACTACTATTATAAAGGCGAAAGTTTGTAAGTATGGATGTATGGATGGTTGTTACTCTTTCACGTAAAAACTACTGAATGGACTTGAATGAAACTTTACCACAATACAGCTTATACATCAGAATAACACATGGCTACAATTTTTGAGGTTCCTAATGTGAGGTCTTAAAAAACACATTTTTTGCGCTAACGTTTCCAAAGCGAAGAATCTGCATGTTTATGCTGAAGGAAAAAGATCGTTAAATATAGTTTATAGGAGCATACTGCAGTAGCTACCTATAGACCTATGATTAGGGCTCTGCAGTGCTTAGTTACCGTATTTCTTACTTACCACCCGCGGCTTCGCCCGCGTGGTATGTAGATAAAAAGTAGCCTATGTCCTATTCTGGAGTGTATCTTACGCCCGTGCCAAATTTCATGCAGATCCGTCCAGCTGTTTCGGCGTGATTGAGCAACAAATATTCAAACATCGAAATTTCTCTGTTTATAATACTAGTAAGTAAGTATATAAAAGCCGGCCTTTTGGAAATACGGTTTCCAAAAGGCCGATTAATGTTAAAATCAATTTAATCTCTTGTCAAGTCATCTGATTGGTTGACTGAATTATCAACACCAGAACAGATGACTTGACAGGAGATTAGTTAATTTTAGCGTTGACAAGCCTTTCAGAAACCGGTTGTAAGACTTGTATCATTATTTGAGGACGAGAGAATATGTATCCATTATGATTTGTATTTGCTATCCGTTGCTAAATAATTTACTGTAGTAATAATATTTATGTGTCTTGGGAACATGAGAATACTACGGGAGAAGAAGAATAGGAATGGTTTTTACAGCATAGCTGAAATACATAGTTATTAGCACATCATTATGGCACTTGAGTTTAAAGGTTATGTTTAGGAGGAGGCTGTTTTATACAGTTAAGAATATGTGGATTGTGGATAATCTGGTGCATTACATTAATTCTAGCTTTCTATTTTATTTAGAAAATGTAATGTTAGGCTGGACAAATGTACCCTATAATCTATCACTACACCACATTTCATTTAGCAGTTTTCTCGGGAAAGAGGACGAACCATCCATCTATCCATCCATATTTACAAATTTAATGCCGAAAGGCATTCTCTATCAGTCAACCGTAAAGGTGACGCAGAGAAGTATTACAGTGGGTTTTAAACAAGCATCACAGATTTTTTAACAAAATAAGGTAACTTACCCTAAAACATATTAGTAGCGTAATAGGAAACAATATTATTGTTATTATAGCCAATATCCGAAAAAAAAGTTCTATTCGAGATTCTTTTGAATATCCTGAAATCGAGATTTATAAAAAAATATTATATTAATATTATGCTTAAAGGCTTAATCACGCAGCTAGCATTGTGAAAATGGGTCCCTAGCATGACTTGAGACTACCAATAGACCACTACAGACGGGGCTATAGGACTGATGTTTAGCCAGGGTTGCGGGGTAAGCGCAAAGAGGCACCGCGGCCTCGACCTAGAGCAGGAGAAGGCACGGGGGGTTTTTAGTCAGTAAAAGTCTGACATCCTGGATGGGAGAAGTCATTTGAAAACTTTCCCCCTACAAAAAAAAGAATAGCTTGAAACGAAACATCACGTTAACTATAGTGAGTAATCCGTTCAACATAATAGTTATTTTTAATATGTCTCAAGGAAGTTATGATAAAACAAATTACTCGTATAACAGTTAACCTGCTTTCAATTCTGAAGTTTTAAGGCGTTTACTAGTGCAAAACGTACATTGATATATTTTTGTGAAATTTCGATTGTTATTAAGTACAAGTTTAAAGAAGTTGCCATCCAAATCCTTTACAGTACCAATAGTCCTGAACAGTTTTGATATTTTATTTGGTCAATACTTACTGTTTATTTCAGCCGTTCGTATTACTACTTGTGGAGGTGGTGGAGGCTCTTCTGATTGCGTAGTAGCCATTATTGAAGGGATACAACGAAACAGAAATTTACTAAATATATCATCTGATTTGTATACACTGATTCAGGTGATGTCAGTCATAGTTTATCAAAATGTTAGACAAAATGGTGACACCATTTTGTCTAACATTTTGATCGACACTTTCTGAACGCTGCATTCAAAATAGGTAAGAAATGAAAAAAAGTACAGTATGCACTTAATAATTTAATTACAATTTGACTAGAATTATTTAGATTAACTGCCACCAATGCACTGTCTACAAGTTGATTTGTTGCTGCGAACTTGGTCCAGGTCCTCCAAGGAATGTTTTCAGGAAATCCATCGGAAAGGGAAATATGATTGTCGAATTCTTTTCGGCTGATATCGAGCTCAGTGACTGGAGGTACCGCAACTAGAATTTTAGATAAAGATTATAAATTATTAGTATTAGCAGAACGAATTCTTCAGTACGGTAATGATAATTTTACGTTGGAATATTTTTCATTATCATGTTCATATCTAACCTCTCTCTCACGTCAAGCAAGCTTCATCATGGACTTCTCTAATGACCTCGACCTAACGTAGATTGGTCTATTGGAAGTAACATGCATCTCCCTGCTACTTACCACCCTCCATCGTCCTGCGCTATGCTTGCTGGTTCATTAACTTTATTCTAGAGTTTTCCTCCCCCTTTTACGTGTTTTGTTTGATTACTTTTTATGTTTAACAGAAAAGATTTTGTGTTTTACCTGTAACGCCATAGGGTTATCAATCATAACGAGAGATGCTTCTTTCAAAGCTTTGGACGCTTTAATTTCTCCTTCCGCTGCTATAATCTTGGCTCGAGCTTCACGATCTGCCTCGGCTTCAGCAGCCATGGCTCTTTGTAGTTGAACTGGTAATCGCACGTCTTTTCTGAAATCATTGTCATCAAAATATTTTTCGAGGGTTCTACAAATGACATAATATTTCTGGGTTTATTTTTTGTTAAGTTTACAAAGTGTACATTCAATAGAATTGTAATTACAAAAATTAATTTCTAAGTGCAATTTTTATACTATAAATTGGTAAATATTTCTGAATAAAATAATTCAGAAAACACCAGACTTGATGAAATGAAAAGTGAAAGTGCAAGTTCCATCCTCAGTGACGAAAATAACTCCTCAGTGAGAAAAAATGAAGAAGCTGGAAATGAAAGTCAGTATTTGAGACATATCTATCCCTTCTTGAAATGAGAAAATGGAATGGAGTCACGAGGATTTTGGAAACTTACTTGGATTAGGAAGATGGTGCATAGGACGTAATGGTGTTTGGTGCATCCAAATTCTCATTTAAAGGAGACATATATATGTCGTTGTTGTGATTCAGTGAAAAGGTATTCAAATACTGGCTTACATTTCGACCCTCTCCACTTCAACTCCCCAAGGATCAGTAGCTTCATCAAGGCTGGCTTGCATCATGTGGCTTATTGCTTCTCTGTCGGACAGCAGCTGAGCCAAGTCTCGCATGCCGAGAACATTGCGAAGTGTTGTTGCAGCAAGCAGACGCGTTGAGGCACTGGAATGAGAAATAAATACTTGGATGAAGACTGGTCGGTTAGTCAGAAAAATTTAGTTAAAGGCTCAGTGAAATAAATGATTAAGAAGAATATATCGATGTGAGTTGGTTACTAAAATTGCTAATGGAATGTTTTCTATAAAAGTATCATACTTTTATTGGAAAATATTTCATTCAACTGTGATTATTTACCTGTAGTCAGCAACTCGAACGACTGCATTTAAAGGTTCTTTAATGCGATAGTAGACAACGGCATCTACCGCCACTGTCACTGAATCTCGTGTCAGGACCTGAAATTATTTAATTTAGGTATTTAAGTTAAATTTTATAATAATTCGTGATTTAGATAAAACCCCTTGCTAGCTTTTCATCCTTGAGGATGCGGGCTCCTAAAATGGCAACTACCAATATTACTTTTTCCGAGTTTTTTGTACTCTCTATGATTATTTAGACACTACTGTCATATGATGAAGAAGAACACCGTGAGGAAACCTGGCATTTTTCCTTATTTTAAGTTTAAAATGCTAATCTGCCTGGAGCAAACCTTCTCCGAGTGAGAAGAGCCTTTTGCTCAGCAGTGGGCACTTAAGAGTTGTTGATGTGCTGATGTATGATAGTAACTTTAATTGCTGAACCGTCAGAAAATGTTAAAACGGGAGATAAAAGATTTAAACAATACTTAGATTCGAACAGAGTATTCATTACCTAAAGGAACAGATCACAATAAATAATTTAATTGCTCATAAAACTAAATGAACGCGTTTAACTGTAATGAGAAGATGTTATTGTAACTGTGTGCTTGCTACTTGTGCGATGACATTTGCCAAGTTCAAATGTCGTGGGAAGAAGCCGCTCTCTAAGCGACATCACGACACGACTGCTGATTAATTTTATTAAAACATCGCCTATAACGAAATTAATCTTTGCCATGACATAATACCTATTTACTTTTATCAAAAGTAACATTTGGGATATAGGATTAAAAAAGGTGTGTGTTTTTCGCCTGTTCTTCCTTTAAAATTCTTTCCTTTAAAATCCTGTTCTTCCTTTAAAATCCTTTAAAATCTTATTTTATTTCTGTAGCTCTAGTTTTAGTCTTAGGTTAAATTATTGTTTTGTTTGTTATTTCCTATTTCCCTTTTACCTGTTGTTTTAGTTTATCACACAGTGTCTTATGTCTCTTACATTTTTCCTTTCGAAGGACTGCAGGAAGAGATTCCATATAGGAATATGCAGTACCTATGTACCTCTGTCTCTGTATTTGTTCTCTATTTACTGTATGTGTGATGTGCATAAATAATTAAATAAATAAATAAATAAAATTGTCTCTCAAGTTCAAAATCTTAAACAAGTTTTAATCCTTCAAAGAAAATATTTTAGACTAGAGTACCAAACAAAGAAACTTTTTTTATCGTTCGGCAGTTGAGCAGGCGGTTTGGCAATTTACGAATACGGCCTGTAAGCAATCGGCACCGCCTATGGATACTCGTAACTTCAGAGGAGTTACAAGTGCATTGCCGACCCTTTTGGGATTAGCATTCCTAAGGCTCTAGACAGACGGACTGCATTTCAACTGCAAATTTGCAGTTCGTATGCAGTTGACACTACTGCAATAGAACTGCAAACCAACCGAGCAGTCCGATTGCGGTTCAATTGCAGACGGCGTGCAGTCGTATGTTGGTTGGTTGGTTAGTTGTTTTGCAGTTCCATTGCAGTCATGACAACTGCATTCAAACTGCATCCGAACTGCAAATTTGCAGTTGGATTGCAGTTGAAATGCAGTCCGTCTGTCTAGAGCCTTAGATTTAGGGATTGGAGAGGGATGGTGAGAGAAAGGATTGAGCCTCCGGTAACCTCATTTAAGCTTCGAAATACAACGCTGTGATTGTTTCACGTCGGTTTTCTGTGAGATCGTGGTCATGGTCGGGCCGACCCATTCATGCCGAAGTTTGGCTCCCTCACACTTAATAATTACTTCACAAACGGACAACACCTAACATTTTGATTATTACCTCACTACTATGATGGTAATTGTTCTAACAGAAAACTGAAGGTTCAAAATTACCTAAAGTATCATGTTTCATACAATTTACTTCATTGTCTGTCTCGTCCTTGGATTTCCTTCAGTGTACTACTATTCACACCATAGCTAATTATAATAATTATCTCCTACCACAAATAGAATTAACCATAATACTGATTCAAAATGGCTAATTGAAGATGAATCACAATGTTCTGTGCAATCTCAGAGCAAGGCCAGCCATAAAATGCAATTTATGTAAGCAAATTTAAACTCCAGGCGATGCAGGCATGTAACAGTGCATTCAAGTGTTCAGTATTGCGTTCTGCACTCTTTTATCAAAAGTATTTATAAGTTACTTAACTCTAACGTAAGTGGTACCAAAAAACTAGATAATATTATGTCTAAAATGTGGCATGAAAAACTCTGTAATTACGTAATATTGTCTAGAAGTTACCTTTTTTGCAATTTAATGTTATAATAATTATTTAAGTGACAAGCTGTAAATGTTTTATTATTTAAATATGAAAGTGCTCATTTTTGTATTTTTGTGATGAATGAAATAATTATGGCATCGTTTCAATTAGGTACAATTGGAGGTTCCTTCTAGTTTTTTTCCATTCGAATGTACATTCTAGAACGAGCACTTAGCTTCACTGACGAACTGACTGACAGACTATTTATATTCCATTTTGACGTTTCAAACGTAGGTACCTGTTTATGGGTTATCTTTTTTATGGATTTTAACTTTGACTTTGACTTACATATAACCTAATTTAAAGAATTAAGTTACCTGACCTTTTGTCAGGTTTCATTGCGTTTCAGTTACATGTTTTCAGCTTCATGCAGTTCATAGATTTTGAAATCTAAACAGTGGATCAAGGAACATTGTATCAGCAGCATATGATCACGTCCAAGCAGAATGTTACACGCCCTAATTCTATCATTACCCGTCTAATCGTCGTTAATTTATCCAGCAAACAAAACGTATTCAGGTCAAACGGGCGTCTGTTCTCGACAGAACAATGGACAGGTTAAAATAAACTGTCTTGCAACCTTCATGATATTGACCATATATTTACATATGAACGGCTCTGGGTGTTACCACATTCCGATCGGGTTTCAATTTGACTGAATTTTGACTGTTCAATGGCACAAATGTTGTTAAGTCCAATGTATTCCATGTTTATCTTAGTACAACTCCTTCATTGATTCGTCTATACTCTTAATTATATCAATACAAATTAACTGTTGTTAGTTTACCGTACCTACCTACCTACAATTCAATGGCAATGCATTTCAACTTAGAACTGTGTTTTATTGCAGAAGTAATTGTTACTTAGCCCCCTAGCAAAGCACTCTAGAAACGAAACAAATCTAAGGGAGCTAATTCGAAGGTGACTTATTTATGTCCTTCAAATTTAAATCTCCTCTATTGTTGCTAAAGCAATGAAGATAGTCGATACTGGACTATGAGACCTAGTCATAAAGCACCTATTTCTTGGTGCACATAATTTCTTTTAACTAAACATGATTGTTAGGACTATAATTGAATAGGTACTCAGTCGAGCTAAAAATACAAAGTTCTTTATGAAATCTTACATATGGAAGTATAGTTTACTCGATATATTAAGTGGAAACTATCAGTGTTGATTGCATAGTATCATAACAACTGAGAATTATGATGACGATTGAAACAAAGCAGACGTTGAACCAAAGGGCCCGAGACATAGTTAATAATGCAAAAGAACACAATAGTTATAACTATAGGTTATTTTATTTTTAACTAATTAACACATTTAATAAAGTATCGTTTATTCGTTTATTCGTATTCCTGTGTGAGAATAAGTGTACAAAGTGTCATGAGGATAGGTCAAGTAATGTATGTATAAGAACGTAACAAACATCCCTATAAAAATCAATTATCGGTAAAGTACACAATATTATTATCCTCTATAAGATTGCAAGTCGGTGTGACGGACCTATATGTCCAGAAACTTGAACCAATTAAAACTTAGTTAATTTTGTTATGTACTAGTGTTACTTTTACAATTATAGGTACATATGTATGAACCTATAAATGTTCACTAAACTTTGTTTGTTCTGTAAGCATATTTCTGTATGACCTATGTACTTAATATGCTTATTTTAAAGTAATTACGAACATTTACTAGAGACCACCTCAGCACACACACACACAGTTCAGCACAGGACAGTTCGCAATGAGGCACCGCGACCTCGGCACAGAGCAGGAGAAGGAACAGGGGGGTTTTTAGTCAGTAAGAGTCTGACACTCCCTCCTGCCCGGCCCTGGGCGGGAGAAGTCATTTGATGACTTTCACCTCACAAAAAAAAAAAGCATGTCAAGAAGAGGTCGCGGAATGCGTTGTATATGTTGCATTTTTTATGTACTTTTTAAATTTAACCATATGTTACCAACCTATGTAAGTATATGTAAACATAAACCTCACAGATTATTTTTTCAGACATCATTGTATAATGAAAATAATCAGTGAGGTTTGAATCCAAACTTAATATTATAAATGCGAAAGTATCTCTGTCTGTCTGTCTTATCTTCACGCCTAAACTACTTACCGGATTTGTGTGAAATTGTGTACAGACATAGTTTGAATCTCGAGAAAACATAGGATAGTTTTTATCCAGAAAGTCACTATTCCACGCGAACGACGTCGTGGGCAAAAGCTAGTAATAACATAAAATACAATAAAAAACCACGTGGCCGATACAATACGGGTCTGGTATGGCATTGGTATTGAAAATCGTTAACCCAGTTGTTTCTCACCATTCAGATGGCTACAATTAATTGATGTGGCTGTAAACTATCAATCAAAGTTTTACGACATGTAAAACAAACGTATCTCGTAAACCAATTGTCTGGGAATCAGCCTAGTCGTTATTTGTGGAGGGCGAGGAAAATTATTGGGCGTGGTTTTGTGTGTCGATTCCTACTATTTATCATGAAATGTATCTTAATAGCCGCCAACGGAGACAATATGGTTGGGAATAAGGCTCCACTATATTTTCTTATGAAAACATTCTCCGTAATGATGTATACTTAATTCTCATTTAATCTATCTGATGTTTGTTATGCTGAAGGAGTTGAAATCGTCCGCCTACTATTAGTTAAGCAACTAATATTACTTTATATTGGTTGCGTTTATTAATTACATTAAAAGTTACTTTTCATCTACACTAATATTACCTATAAAGTGTAGGGGTAATCTTTGCTGGTATATACAAATAATACTTACCCATTTTTTTATTGACGGCTAAATTGAGGTCTTACGAACTTGGTTACTAGTTGTCTTCGTACTAATACGGATAATAATAGGTATCTTAGATGTGTATGAAACTAATATTTGCAACAGCAGTTACGAATCGGAAAAAAATCTTCATTACACAAATAGGTCGTAAATGAACAGTAAAAATTGATTTTAGCGCGTCTGTTCCGAATTATTGCTAGTGCTGTATTGGTCAAGTATTTTGAAATGAGCCATAAAATTGTACTGACGTCTTCACTGATCTGATTAAGATCAAGGAGCTAGACCAGATTTTTTTATTACATTCATATTTTGAGCCTACTGATATTGTAAGCCAATATTACGTAAGCATGTAGCACATAAAATTAAAATTGGAATTACTAAAATACAATAATTCGACAATGAGAATAAAATATTTTTTTTATTTGTGACCACATAATTAACTGCATAAATTTACTGCCCGATTTCGATATTTCTTTTTGTTTTTTGTTAGGTTATGGTATGGTTAGATAGGATATTGAGGCATAGTATAAAGCTTTATACCTACTTTGATTGAGGTATTGGATATGAATGGACCAGATCAAGTTAGTGTCGACTTTTAAATCCTCCTAATAATATTACGAAAGTTTGTTAGTAGATATGGATGTTTGTTACGTAAAACTACTAAACGCATCTGAATGTCTTTTTTCATTGAGATAGTCTGTCTATTTCTCATGATAGTCTAGAATCACAAAATTGTGAGCTACTTTATGCTAAGGCATTGCGGGCTTAACCACCACTTTAGCATTATTATTAATATTTAATTTATGTTAATACGGATTTGATTCAGGTACATTAACAGAGATATAATAAAATCATAGAGAAGAAGAAAAATTTGAAAAACTGCTATCAGAAGCTAGTAGAATAATTATACCTACTTAAATCTATTAGTTTTTCTACGAAACTATAGGTACCTAGTTACCAAAACTTCTTAAAAAATAAGAACTCTTCTTAATCGAAGAAAGGAGACAGATTTATAGCAAATATTTAGGCAATTATTTCTATTTAGGAGTCAAACGGAGTTCATTGCGTAAATAATATACAAAGAAGAGCATATTGAATAAATATACTAATGTATTTAAAGTTCTTGTATGTTTATTTTTATACTAAAAGCCGTTGACCGAATGCCGCATATGTGAGATTTTATGTTCAGTGGTAAAACATAGCTAATGGGATGTATCAATATCGGAAATTCAGATATATTAGTCAGTTCGCTTATAATATAATTTTTATTTTAACTCTTATTGTTACAAAAAAGACAGTATTTTGAAGTTAAATAAAATTAGTAAGGGATGATTTTCAATAGTCAGATAACTGATGAAAATGTTATCTGATGAATAAAATTGTTGCAGCAGTGGATAAAACCTTTAAGGGAATAATCTGGTATTCAAATTAGCGTTCGTCTATTAACAATAAGTATAGGATAAAACAGCTCATTATGATTTCATTATTGTCTGCGAATGCAAGTGGCATTCTATTAGATTAAGAACGTCATCTATAGCAGTGTTGATTCCATTTGTAAGTTATACTTGAATAAACAAGGAAAGATTATATTTCTCACAAACACAAGCAAACTGTATCATAAAGACTTCGTTAAATAAACAAGAAGGGACTTACACCAAAGAGTCGACAAGTAAATAATTAATTTGGTATTCAAATACAAATTATTAGGTATAGGAACCAAATATGAATAGTTTACATTGAAATGTTAATATTAACAGGTTCCAAATGGCTATAAGATCTGCTTATGACACACTGGTACACGGAAAACATAAAATTAAATCTAGATCCATTGAAATTACTAGCACAATTAGCGGTAAAGAGTGCCTAGGTGCGTTTGAAATCCTAGGCCGATTACATAAACTTTATTTAATAGTGAAGGGCGAATAGAATTTAAGGAAAATAAATGAATAGGGGGTCAAGATTGGATATAGATAAGCTTTATTTACATTTCAACAGACTGTTGATATATTGTACGAAGTGTCATTTGTAGCTAACAATAATTACAACAAAGCATGATAATAAAAGAAAAAAGTTAATGTATGAACGATAAAAGAATATTTGTATATAAAATCAAATTCATCATCATTAGCCTATAAATGCGCACTGCTGAACAAAGGCCTCTTCTCATACTGAGAAGGTTTTGAGCATTAATCACCATGCTTGTTTAAGTTTGGCGATTGTAAATTCATAATTAGAAATTGTAAATCCAAGTTTACTCACGGTGTTTTCTTCACCGTACATATGTAAGCGGTGTCTTAATAATCATAGAAAGTGCATATATTTAACTTGGAAAAAATCACATAGGTACTTACCAGGAATCGAAACCTTAGTTTGCATAATCTATTCTGTATTCTCAAGGTATTTAAACATTATAATAACTAAATCAACACTTACCTCTTGGGGAGGGACGTCAAAAGACACAGTACGCAGGTCAACTTTCCTATATGTGTCAATACACGGCAGCACGAAAAACAGACCAGGTCCTCTCGCACCTCCCTTTCTTAACCGACCTAGGCGAAATATTACAGCTCTTTCGAATTCTTGCACCACCTGAAAATCAACAATAACATGGGTAGGTGATTAAATTTCGTTAAATAATAATGAAAAGATCTTCACAATTTTATTTGAACTAGTCGTTCGGTGACAATTTTAGAAAAAAAAATAAGACTTAATTTAATCGATAAATTTTAATGTAAAACCGAAGCATTATATTTAACACAGCACTCATCTGACTAAAAAAAAGTATAACAAGGAAAATTATAAAACAATTCCTTCTTTCAAAATCTAACGTGAAAATATTTAGAAGTTCAACGGATGTGCAGTAAATAATAATGAGGTGATGATGGACACTGTGCATCAGTAGAGGTGTTATTATTTATTTTAATTGCCTAAATACCTTGAAACACTCGAACAGCGAAAACGGGAAGGTGATGATCACGAGCAGGAACGATAAAAACGTTGCGAACCGTTCTATACATCCCACCGCCTCTGGATTCGCTGCCACACACAAATAATACAACTTATTAATTATCCAAATCACCAATGTCACTGAACCCTATTAAATTTTCACATTGATGTCACTATTGTTGTTCTATCACAAATACACTGACAGCCCCAAAAGAAATTCACATTTCGAACAAACGGTTAATATCGACGACGCAAGCGCAAATTATTTTGTTAAGCCTCCTTACAAGCTTCACTCTTATTGTCAAGGTACTTACGCATTTGTATCGTGATAGCGCAAGAAGTACCCGTATCGCAATCTAAAATATTCAAATGTTCAAAATTAGAGCGTATTTAATAATTGTTGGGACGGCAAGCGCACAAAGTTCAGTGTTTACTCACGACTGGGCACGTTGTCACGCCTAGTGCTTATCGTTCTTAGCTCCGTGTGCATTTTGAGAGCTCACCGTACCTTACTGTGTTATTATGTTATTGTTATATCGGAGGGAGGAGCAATAAATTCGCAATAATAGCGTTTTACTCGACTAACAATCACGGACTGCGCTGACATACGGTGTAACTTACTGTCAGAAGAGTCCAGCTGTTTACACGACCCAAAAACTACACTGATTCCAACTAAAAATATCAATTACAATGCGATGTTCCACAACAATAAGAAAGCTATAAATCACCGTTGATAGCGTTTAGTGAAAATGTATTTACGTATTTCGAGGTAGCACTCCACTTCCCCCGAGTCCTTGTCGTAGCAACCGAAATCCATGTGGTATAAGGGCGCGCGAAATGTTAAACGCATTGACCGTTTTGTCAATTGTGGTAAAGTGGTCGTGTCTTCTAACCGCTGTCTATATTGATACTAAGGTGAGACGCGCGGAAGATCAGGTTGTTGATAAAAATAAATAAATAACGCACTTTGAGCCATAACGATGGGCGGGCGCGGGCGTACACTGGACCGCGGTGCTCCAAATTGTGAGAATTAGGTATATTGGGGCGTTCCATGCGCCGCTGCACTACATAAATTATAACAGGATGTTTGGATAATAAGTACGGGAATATCAGATTGTTTTACGACATCGCGCGAGCGCGGGATCTGAAGACGAGTCATTATGAAAAGTACCAACTGATTTAATGTTTCAAATGTAAAACTGATGTTGATGTCTATTTTCATTATCATCATAATGTATGGCGGTCGTTTAGCACGGAACAGCTGTGTTATGTAATGTTCCTGGTATAAACTTTAAGTTATTTACATCGCAAATCAATTCGTTGTCTAAATATTGTACAGTAGTTATGATAATGTCTAATTTGTTTACTGATCTCATTACAATTCTGATTTACAACGCTTCAACTCTCGACACATTTATATGTAGTAGTAGGTATGCTTAAGCTCTATTCACACGTATTGCAGAAAAATAACATTATTTTTAGTGAAACCAAAATGAAAGTACTTATTTTATGATCTATCTTCGTGTTACCCAAAATTTACGAAGAATGAGTGATCTCAAAAACAGAACCATTATAGGTAGTTAAGAAAGGACACACTTATGCACAAACTTTCCTACTCTATAATTTACTTTGCATGTTATCGTAATAGGGAACAGACGAATATTAATGATGAAAATATGTTTTTTATTGTTGTAAAATCTTAAGTAGGTCACAGCTCTATCAAAGTCGGTCGAACTCAAGCGCACAACACAATCTTTGATCTTTGTCTGACATCGCCCGTTTATATACTACGTCTATTTTTGTTGGTCTTACCTACAGTTACTGCAGTTTTACGTTGAATAAATGGAAATATGTAAAACGTAAAATCTAAACTAATCGTCAATCGACTTCAGTCGTTGAAATTTATTAAAGCGGTCTTTAGAATGTTAAACAAAAAATATATTATTTTTATTATAATTTAAATTATAATTTAAATTTGGAATTGGAAGTTACGTTCTATTTATGCTGCCAATCATAATCTTTTGCCCATGAGTATACGGATACTCATACTTAAAAATTTTTAGGCCAGGATATAAATACTTTTTTTGAATACAAAAATAAATAAAACTATTTAACGTTTAATCTAAGCTGAGATTAATTCGTATTAACCGTCAGGTTCCTGACCTTTGGGAATGTGAACTAATAAGAATGGAGCTCAAGTAGAGCTAAAATTACTCTTTTCCTAGATACCCATATTCCTCACAAAAATACGTTGAGCTCTAGGTATTAAAGAATCTGTTTACCGACGTCGTTAATTAGGTTAACAAACTAGCCGTCGACGGCTAATAATAACTGTTTGAGATCAATAGCTCAACGAATATCCGTACGTATGGGGACTGACAGTGAGTCCGACACTTGTTTTATGGGAAAAAAACATTAGCTCAAGCATTTTAAGTCCCTGAGGTTGACAAGCTGGGCTGATTATATAAAAAAACTGGTTAAAAAAAACCAGACAACACCGTTCTTAAGTATGATTTTCGAATTTATTAATTAATCTACATAATTCAATTATAGAATATACATGTTTTCCAGTCAGTAGCCTGAAATGTCAAGTGGAAGAAAGAAATAGTGGTCTATTCTATACTAACCAATCATCACAGTATTCAACTAAGGTTAGTCGTTCTATAAAAGATCAACTACCTTTTTCAATAATTGAACTCCATATTATTTCTTGGAAACATAAAAAAACCAGGTAAAAATACGTAGGTACCAAATAATTTAAAATCGGTCCATCAGCGGGTAATTAACGTAAGCGTTTGTAAATTACATACAGTCGAATTAAGACTCGATTCCAACTATCTAGTGCAGTGTGTCTGATTGATCGACTAACAGGTCCAAAGATGTTTCCACTGATTGACACTAAACAGTTTTTTTTCTTCAGGAATACTATAGGGTGTGTCAAATAAATTCTAGAGATTTACCATGACACAATCTCTTTGATCAGTTGAGTAAGACATTTCTGTATATAAAACGTGATACGCCTTTTATTTTTTGTAGGTTACGTAAAATGGATATTCATTTTAATAGCCACTTTTCTTTGTTCATATTATGAGTCTCTTCTCATTGATGCTAAGGAAGCTAAGTAAACTAAGTATGAACTAGGCTCCAAGAAATTTACTGCATGAGTGGGTTAAACCAAATAGCATTCACTAGGCAAATATTACTCTCCTCACGCTGTAGCAGTCACAGTGGGCGACACTCCGGTAGTCGGGGATCGAGTGACCAGAGCCAGACTCGTGCGAACGGCGCGTAAGCGTTGCATGCGTGCCTCAAAGAGCCAATAGACCACCATTATGCATGGGCAATTTTCAGCCGAGGTTGCTGGGCTAGCACAGTTAGGTGCCACAGCCTCAACCTGGAACAGATGATGGAACGGGCAGGTTTTTAGTCAGTAAGAATCTCTCGCCTTACAACTTAAAGGTGACAAGACAAGACATTTGACGATTTTCCCCATCACCAATAAGTATTACCTGAAAGCTTAAAATTACTCGAGTAACGAGGCAGTCAACGGAATATGCACAAACAGATTCCCCGTGTACTATCAGACACATTCATTTCTATACTCGTAGTATGTCATAATTTCATTACACAACACGTCAGTGAATCGTGGGGATACATCGTCTATTGTTTTATTCCCGTCTATTCAATCGCAACTTTTCGAATATAACAGATGAAAATACACGTTTTTCTTCTAACAATGGATGGGTGTCTTTTATAACCATTTTGTTTGGTGATTAAATCGGAATAAAAAGTCAAGGAGTGAATTTACCATGTGTATTTACAAATATAAGGGGCAAAAGGCAAATCCCGTGTGATATTTTGATTACATTATTGGTCTTACATTAATTTTTCTATCGTGGTGGGCGATAATGTTAAGGTGCCTGCTCACATGCATGAGAAATTTGGCAAGTACCAATGTAACATTTTCGAAGTAATACCTATATCCTTTCTATGATTATTTCAACACCACTAATAAAGTATGCTGTGAAGGAATTCGTCGTTAGAAAACCTGGAAATTTAATTTTTTTCTCTGTGCTCAAACTCAAACCTCAAATCTCTGTGTGAGAGAAGGCATTTGTTATTTTTTTTTGATTTGTTATTAATTTATATTCTATTTTGGAGCTGTCAGGGCCAGTTATATGTACATTAGTGTTAAAATATTCTAAGGATCACATTGATCAGCAGTGACAAAACATTAAAATTACGCGATTGAGAAATTAATGTGTCAAAAGACGACGATGATTGGTCTTTTGATTCCAGCATTGGATGCAGCACTAAACACCGTGATCAAAATTAGTTGGTGGAACCCGAGGAACATCTTAATATAAAATGGCAAACATATCTATTACAAACTGCTCGTACGAGATGACATAATTGAAGTCTCAATCTAATCTGACGTCTATATTACTGACGTATACACTACTACCCAGTAGGTACGCAAATTGTCAGGTTTTTTGCATAAAGGTGACAAGATGTCCAGTCCACCGCATTCGTTCATGTCCCAGAGTAACCCATTTCCGTCAGCTACAAAGTTGCAATGCATGTTGATAAGCAGTTCATATACTCCACATTCGTGTGTATCTGGGGTTTCTAAATTGCTAGTAGCGTACAAGCTTGGCATACTGATATGTTCACTAGCTAGGGATAGGTGAGAAGGTACACGTAAATTCACATTTATATTCATTTCGTATGCCTCATTTTTTTATTTGCATTTAGAAGGTGCCCCATTAAGCAAGAAAGCAATATTTAATATACTGTATAATAAAATATAACTGACAAAAGAGGGTATATCAAAATTGAACCTCATAATAAAATTGTTACTTAATTTTTAAGATGCAAATACCTTAAAATTCTTTTTTATTTAGATATTTCTTTTAAGCATACGAATTTTTTATTGATCTTACCTTTGTATATAAACCTGTATTGCTTTTACATAAAACTGTATCTAGAAGTCCAGGAAAAACGATACTAAAAATTTTCTTTCCCATACTCTGCAAGTGACATTAATGTTAAATGTTAATGTTAATGTTTGACGAAAATCAATACAGTATAAATAATTACTATATTAAAAACACTATAAATAAATTTACTTCGTACAGAGTAATACGTATTTTTATTCAATTAAGGGCTGATTTTTTAATAGTTAGATAAAATTTACCTGGCGAATAATTATGATGCTGTCGCATCGGAATGTTTGTATAACACAGTAACAGCAACAATTTTATTCCTCAGATAACATTTATATATTACTATTGAAAAATCAGCCCTAAATGTTGAAGACGGTGCCAGAAGATTAACAAACATACAAATTCGATCGAATTGGAACCTGCCGCTTTGTTTAAGTCGTTTAAGAATAAATGTAGTTTGCAACCTATTTTTGTTATCTCAGTCAATATCCATTATTCTTTTGTTATGTTATAAAGTAAACAAAACGTGAAATATAGTTTTTTGGATAATAAACAACCTTTCAGTTTTCTTGACGTGAGATGAGACAGTATGAATGTTAGCGAGTTTTAAATATGCCCATAATATCTCAGATAAACTTCTTATATATAAAAATGGATCGCAAAATGTGTTGCTAAGCGCATATCTCAACAAAGCCTGGACCAATTTTGCTAATTCTTTTTTTGTTGTGTTTGTTATCGTAGGTAGCAATTGCTTAGTTTGATTTATGGAATTTATGACAATATATAGGTACATTACCGCTACAAAGAGCAGCATTTTTAAGCATCAGCATTTGTATCCACTGCTGAACAAAAGCCACCTAATAATTTTTCAAAGACTATTGTAAATGGTACTTTTGGTTTACAACTTTAGCGTGTACGTCTATAATTCAGGATGCGTAACAAGTTTACTAGATGTATTACAGGATATGTTTTGATATTTAGTCACCGACGGCTTGCGAGCTAGTTTGATAGCCTCTAGACTCATGTTTTATGGCCATTTTATGACGTCACCCTTAAACTTTATGGCTATATAAATGGTATGCCATATTTTAGGTATAGATTTGAGTAAAGCGACAAAATAACAAGATTGAATGAAACTGTTAAATAGTATAATAGTATACATAGATA